TTTGTGTGATTGAAAAACTTCAACATTATTGCAAAATAATAAGCGATATTATTTGTTTTTAAGTACAGTGTCCAATATCCAATGATGCTCCTGATATTGGTGTTAATTTCATCCATGCACGCATTGCATTGATTACAAGTATATCACGATGTGTACGTGTATGTCCATTACCAACATATGCACATGCCATAGGTTCATATGCTTTGATATAAGGTACTGATTTACGACATGTTTCACACATTATGGTACATATATCACATGATGATTTTCCATCAGGTATACCAAGATCTCCATACGTATGGTAATAAGATGAAAGAATAAATCGAACAGGCCAACCATTATTATTATCAGTTACACCGTTTGGATTCGTAAAAAGACGAATTTCAAAATTGCGATGAACTAATGTAGAACAATTTTTAACAAGAACACAACCAAAAGTATCCATATCACAACTACTTCAACCTGGATTTTGTTGGTCATGATCATCATTTTTAATAACTACACGATGATGTGGTACAGTTGGATTATGAAATAGTTCTTTTGGATAAAGACCATCCCACATCTATTATCATAATAAGATAAAAATTAAAAAATATTATGAAAATAATTTGAAAAATTTTACTTTGATCTTATCCACTTCTGAATCTAAAATGCGATCTTTTTTGAGAATATTTGCAAACTTAGTACCATACCATGAAGGTCCTGTCCAAATATATTGTGCTTCTCCATCTTTTGTAAAATACAAATATACATATGATAAATACTAATTCTATTACCTGTAAGAACTTCAAGCCAGACAAAAAAATCATCTGGTAATTTACCACCCATTTTAATTTGAACTTTTTTCATTATTGCTGATAAATCTTCAGATGATATATGTTTAGCTGCATCAATACGAAAACCACTAGCACCTAAACTTAATATATCAACAAGATCAACTAGCCATCCATTGTTTTAATATAAATAAATTAGTCCAAGCACCATTTGGACGATCACAATGAAAATCTTTCGGACCACTAGCAGCAGCTGGAAATTCATTTGATGGCGCTTTTTCTGTATTTGAATTGTATTGATAAGTAAAAGCATGTATATAAAATGGTGATTGACGTTCAATAGGTGTACTACTTGTTTTGTTACCCTATTTGACACAACTACTATTTGGATTGCGATGTTGATTAAGATCATTACCAACACCTGTAAAATGATTAAGTACAGCATCTATATATACTCGAGTACCATAACTTCGACATATTTGAATTAAATCATGTAATTCTTCACGTGTACCCATTCGACCATCTAAATTATATGGAACTGGCTGATACCTAACAAAAATAAATAAAATCTATTTTATTCAATGACTATATACTTACATAAAATACCATGGATTCATAGCACTTTCAAATGGTTGTATTGACATAAGTTGTTCATGAACAGGAAATAATTTCACACCTAAATAACCAGCTTTACCAAGAAATTCACATTTTTCTTTCACATCTTTATGTGGCCATCCAAACATTTCTGCTATAGCTCCTTTTTGTCCATTACGATAATCACCTGATCGATTAAAGATTAGTTTAGCATTCCATATAAAATCAAGTTCAGGTAATTCTAATGTTGATCTATCACTTCTAGTTATAACTGCCGATAGAATACCAGTATATGCACTGGTATAACGTTTATATTTTGTTGCTTGTGCAATACCATCAAAAAAATAAGTTAATGTGATTGAATTTGATTGACGATATTTTGTTTGAAGACAAACATCAGCTGCAAGACGATCAGTATCTACTTAGGGTTATCCAAAAGTAGTGGGCCAGGTTCTTTTTTTTCTTATAAATAGCTAAAAAGAAATTTCTTTTTTTACGAATAGATAGAGCGTCTTTCGCTCTATCTTTCTATGCTATTTGATCACTATTCAACTGGTATCATAATAATAAAATTCCGACAAAAACATTTTTAGTGCAACTCTAGCTGGTAGCAATAGTGCATATTATCATTCATGCGTGTTTTCATCATCTAATAGGTTTTATTAAAAAACAAAATACAGCACAAGATGCAGCGTGAAAAGCTCTACAATTTACAAAAAACAGTTTATTTTAATTGTGTACTTTTTGTTTTCAAAAAAAGCAAAATTCTGTGTGACCAGTTTTCGCCGTTGCAAAAAAATCATTTTTTTCTACACAAAAGAGAAATTTCTTTTTTCTTATTTCATATTTTTATCATCTAATACGTTTTATTAAAAACAAGATATACCACAAGATGCAGCGTGAAAAGCTCTACAATTTACATAGTAAAGCTTATTGTAATTGTTTTCAAAAAAAGCAAAATTCTGTGCTACCAATTTTCGCACGGTCAAAATTTGGTCGCTCAAAGTTTTGTCCAATTTGAAAACAAAAAGTGGAACTATAAAAAAAGTGGTCGTATGTAAATTGTAGAGCTTTTTACGCTGCATCTTGTGCTGTATTTTGTTTTTTAATAAAACCTATTAGATGATGAGAAAAAAACAAAGAAAACACGCATGGATGATAATATGCACTATTGCTACCAGCTGGAGTTACACAAAAAAAGTTCTTATCGAAATTTTATTGTTATGATACCAGTTGAATAGTGATCAAATAGCATAGAAAGATAGAGCGAAAGACGCTCTATCTATTCGTAAAAAAAGAAATTTCTTTTTAGCTATTTATAAGAAAAAAAAGAACCTGGCCCACTACTTTTGGATAACCCTAAGTATATAGATGATATCAGCATAGCCAACAAGTGTATGATAATCTTGAAATGATGATTGATAACCATTCATATTAGGTTTTGGTGTTTGCCAACGCTTTTCTTCAACACCTGGTGTTGCATGAAATTGTGAATCATCTACACAACTCTCTTCTTTAAATATTCCACATTCAGATAATTCATTTGAACAATCTTGTGAACATGTTTGATATGTTTCACTTGTTTGACATATACTATCACCACATATTGGACATTTACCATAATCACTTGGACATGTTTCACCTAATTCACATTGACCATTACCGCAAATAGTTGCAAGAGGACGAAATGATAATTGTTTTGAACTAGGTTCAAAAACAAGTTCAACAGTACCAGATGCACTTGTTGAAAATTTACAATTACCACCATTTCCACAGCCAATGCTACCGGATCATGAATTATCAAAAGTAACTTTCCATTCATAGAATTTATTTGGT